CTGCAACAGATTTGCCCAGTACAATATGATATTTGATTTCCTGACTCTTGTTTCTATGAGTATTGACTGTGGATCCAAGTAAAATGAAATCCCTGGAAACTTGAGTCTTTTCCCCATTTATCATGATATTTTTTATTGGTCCAGTTGTGAGGATTTTCATCTTCTTTATGTTGAGGTATAATCCATACTGAAGATCTTTGATCTTCATCAGTAACTGCTTCAAATCATCTTCACTTTCAGCAAACTAGGTTGTGTCATCTGCATATCGCAGGTTGTTAATAGTTCTTCCTCCAATCCTGATGCTGTGTTTTTCATATAGTCCAGTTTCTCAGATTATCTGCTCAGCATACAGATTGAATAAGTATGGTGAAAGGATGCAGCGCTGATGTACACCCTTTCTGATTTTAAACCATGTAGTATCCCCTTGTTTTGTTCAAATAACAGCCTCTTGGTCTATGTATAGTTTCCTCATGAGAACAATTAAGTGTTCTGAAATTCCCATTCTTCACAATACTATCCATAATGTGTTATGATCCACATAGTCGAAAGCCTTTTGTATAGTCAATAAAACACGGCAGACATCTTTCTGGTATTCTTTGCTTTCAGCTAAGATCCAGCTGACATCAGCAATGATATCTCTCATTCCATGTCCTCTTCTGAATCCAGCTTGCATTTCTGGAACTTCCTTGTCAATATACTGCTGCAACTGTTTTTGAATTATCTTCAGCAAGATTTTACTTGTGTGTGATATTAATGATACTGTTCAATAATTTGCATATTCTGTTGGATCACCTTTCTTTGGAATGGGCACACATATTGATCTTTTCCAGTCAATTGGCAAGGTAGCTGTCTTCCAAATTTCTTGGAATAAACATGTAAGTGCCTCCAGAGCTGCATTCATTTGTTGAAACATCTAAACAAATTGATGGGTATTCCATAAATTTCTGGAGCGTTGCTTTTCACCAGTTCCTTCAGTGCAGCTTGGACTTCTTCCTCCAATTCCATTGGTTCTTGATCATATGCTACCTCTTGAAATAGTCAGACATATACCACTTATTTTATTTTATTTTATTTTTTGTGATACAGTGACTGTATTCTTTCCATCTTCTTTTGATGCTTCCTGCATGGCTTAATATTTTGCCCATAGAATCTTTCAGTATTGAAACTTGAGGCCTTGAATTTTTTCTTCAGTTCTTTTAGCTTGAGATATTTTCCACTTTTGGTTTTGTAACTCCAGGTGTTTGCACATTTCATTGTAATACTTTACTTTGTTGTCTTGAGATGCCCTCTGAAATCTTCTGTTCAGTTCTTTTATTTCAGTATTTTTTCCATTTGCTTTAGCTACTCTTGTTCAGGAGCAAGTTTCAGAGTCTCTTCTGAAATCTGTTTTGGTGTTTTCTTCCTTTCCTGTCTTTTTAATGACCATTTGCTTTATTCATGTATGACATTCTTGATGTCATCACACAACTCATCTGGTCTCCAGTCATTGGTGTTCAATACATGAACTCTGTTCTTCGGATGGTCTCTAAATTCAAGTGGAATATAACCAAGGTCATATTTGGCTCTTGTGGACTTATTTTAATTTTCTTTAGTGTCACCTTGCACTTGTACATGGGCAATTGATGGTCTGTCTCAGTCAGCTCCTGGCCTTGTTTTGACTGATAATATTGAACTTTTCCATTGATTCTTTCCACATATGTAGTTGATCTGATTCCCGTGAATCCCATTTGGCAAGGTCCACATGTATAGCCACTGTTTATGATGTTGAAAAAAGTACTTGCAATGAATAAGTCATTGGTCCTGCAAAATTCTATCATGATCTCCAGCATCATTTCCACGTACTGATGATTTTCCAACTACTGATTATTTTTCTTTGTTTCCAACTTCCATATTGTGATCACCAGTAAGTATAAATACATCTTGACTGCATGTTTGATCAATCTTACACTGCAGAAGTTGGTAAAAATCTTCCATTTCTTCATCTTTGGCTTTAGTAGTTGGTGTGTAAATCTGAATAATAGTAGTATTAACTGGTCTTCCTTGTAGGGATATGGATATTATCACTGACAACATTGTACTTCAGGATAGATGTTGAGATGTTCTTTTTGATGATGAATGCAGTGCCATTCCTCTTCAATTTGTCCTTCCTGGAATAGTAAATAATATTATTTTCTGATTCAAAATGGCTGATACCAGGCCATTTCAGCTTACTGATGCCTAGGATATCAATCTGTATCCGTTCCATTTCCATTTTTGACAAATTCCAATTTTCGTACATTCATACTTTGTACATTCCATGTTCCAATTATCAGTGGATGTTTGCAGCTGTTTCTCCCCATCTTGAGTCAGCCCCATAACCAAATGAAGGTCCTGTAAGCTTTACTCCATCCACTTCATTAAGGTTGACTATACTTTGAGGAGGCAGCTCTTCTCCAGTTGTATTTTGAATGCCTTCCAGCCTGAGGGGCTCATCATCCAGCACTATATCAGATAGTGTTTCATGGCTATTCATAAAATTTTCCAGTAATATATCAGACAGTTTCACTGCTATTCATAAGGTTTTCAGTGACCAATTTTTCTGAAGTAGATGGTCCCATCCTTCTTGCCAGTCTGTCTTCATCTGGAAGCTCTGCTGAAACCTGTTCACCATGGGTAACCCTGCTGGACTTTGAAATACTGGTTATAGCCTCCAGCCTTACGGCAACATGCAAGCCACCACAGTATGACAAACTGACAGGTGATGGAAAGAGCTTACTAGAGGTTGACAATCTACTAAGGCAGGACTGAAAGACAGCCTGGTGTGCAGTGGGCTGTGAGAAAGAACAAAGGGAGTTTTCAGAGAGAGAGCACCTAGCCCAGGGAATAGGCAGCTTTGTACTGGTGGCAGAGGGAGACAGACGGAACAGGGAAAGGCAGAAGTAGAACCAAACTACAGAAATCCTAAGAGTACTTTCAAGAGGGAGGGACCTTAGATCTAAATTTAGTGACCTAGAAAACTATCTACATACTGTTAAATGGGAAAATAAAAGTATGTGTACTTTGCATCTTACACAATAAATGATTTATTTCTTATTAAAAATATATAAAATTCTAGCAAGATACACAACACAGTTAACTTTGGGTTGTGACACTTCAGATGACTTTCTCGTACATTTTTGTGTGTGTGGATTTTTTTTATATATAAAAAATTGTGTTATTTTATCAGCAGAAAGAGCAGCAAAGCTATTTCCATTTTTGTTTAAAGGAGAAGGCAGCCAATAGTACAAATGGTGCAGAAACTATGATGAGTTGGGGAAAATATAAATTTAATGAATAGGAGGTCTATAAATATAAATGGAACGACTAGGGGGGTGTTTTTTGGCCTTCAGGAGAGGAGTTTCAATATAGCGATGGGAGTTGAATCCAGGTGATGATCCCTTGGGTTGTTGAGATTTTGCAGAAACTCAAGAGCATTTAGTAATGTTGGCCATTGCCTAACATTTAAGAAGTTGAAAGCCTAAATACATGACATAGTGCCATACTGATCAAACCAAGCAATGATTCAAATATGAAAGGGAAGATGCCACCTGAGGTTGGGTCTGTACTTTCTAATAATTCTGGCTTGATTCGGTATCTTTGAAGTGATTTGATTTGTGCCTTTTCTCCTCGGAAGAAAGGTTGGGCAATCTACTTCCGTAGTGATACTGCCTTGGAAACCCAAGGAAGGGTCGCTGTGAGTCAGATGTGACTTGACGGCACATAACAACAACAGTCCACTTAAACAACATAGACAAATACAGCATAATGGTGTCATTGAAAACAACAACAACAAAATCCTCATTTGATCAAAAACTAGTGTATAGTGTACTTTGCTTTATAATATCTCACCTTACATAACTCACTACAGTTCACAGAGTTTTCACATTGATTATCTCATTTGCTCCTTATGATCCCTTGAAGAAGGTGGGGCTGAGATAATTATCTCCATTTTATAAATGAGGAAACTAAGAAGAGTGACTTGCCCAAGGTCACATGGTGGCTAAGCAGTAGAGGACATTTCTGACTCCTAGGTCAGTCCTCCCTCCACAGAGCCCCATGGCTTCCTGGGAATCTTCAAAGCACTGACTTGAGCAAAGTCTGAGCTTAGTTTTCATACTTGAAAATGAGTTGCTCTGAGAGTTAAATTACTAAAATCTATAAATATAATTACATATAGTAGAAACTCAGTATTTTTATTGTTCTAATTTCTTACATAAAAAAAGGAGAGAAAGAGCTTTCTTCACATTTTCTCAGGAACTTATAGTTTAGTCAGTCACCCCCACTCACTTCACCTGCCTGGGATCATTTTCACCATTCTAAAATTTTCCACCCTTCCTGCTAGTACATTTTAAAACTCATAATTTAAAAATCTTTCTTGATTATAAAATGATGGCTACCCATTATAGAAAATTCACAAAATACAGAGAAATACAAAGAAAAGGGTTAAAATAAATACCACTGAGAGATACTTACTGCTAACATTTGGAGCATGTCTTTCTAGTCCTGCTACTTTCTTGAACAGTCTTTTATTCTTTAGCAGCCTCTTTTCTTATCCAACTATTCTTCTTAAAAATAACTGGCAAAGGAGGACTGGAATAGAGACTCAACAGTGCCAGGACAGAAATGAACTAATATGCATGCTATTTAGCCTATCACATGGGCTATAGCTTTTTCTGGAGGATGGCTCAGTTTTCCTCAGCTAGTTATAATGGCTTATTACTGTTACTCACATCACATGCTTAAACTGTCATTTCCTGATTCTTAATTTGCAGACCTTATGTTAAATAAATGGTGAACAGGTCAAGACTAAGGCAATAATGATCAGCAAGCACTATAAACATTCCAGAGTGGTGGACTGCAAGGTGGTATCTTTAACCAAGATCACGTAGTTCTCTTCTGGAAGTCCTTTGTAATTGTCACTATCAGGCGATCATTAACAACAAATCATAACAATCTAAATTGTTTGAATCATTATCTCTTACCTCATGAATCCAGATCCAACAAGGACTCCAGCAATGCTCAGCAGAGCCACTCCACTATTGACAACATTTGGGTTTTGGACAATACCAAGTAGCACAAGAGTTAGAAATTCACCAACTAAGTGGGGGGCCAAGAGAGCAGCAGAGAAATATCCAAATCTGGCGGCCTCAGGGTATAAACCCAGAGTCCTAGAAAAACATAAGGTCTTTAGTCTATCTCCAAGGATTATTACTTAAGAAAAATATCACAAATGCCGCTATTGAATAAATCTACCATGGTGGGGGGTGAGAAGTTTACAGGGCAAGCCAGCCTCTCCTTTGAGAGTCCTTTTGGAACAGAGCCAACCAACATTTGTGACTATTTATTACTGCAAATTGTTTCTTTTGGCTTCACCTCACTGTGAGCCATCTTTTCCCTTTTACAGCCCCTTTTAACTCTCCCAAAGCACTCTGGTGACATCGTGCCTAAGGCATTTGACTGCTAACCAGAAGGCTGACGGTTCAAACCCACCAGCCACTCCTGGGAAGACAGACTGAGCAATCTACTTCCATAAAGATACCACCTTGGAAACCCAAGGAGGGGTCACTGTGAGTTGGAATCTACTCGAAGGCAGTGAGTTTGGTTTGGTTTTGGGTTAGCTCTCACAGGAAAATACTAAATCATTTAGACAATAATTAGTTATAGTTGTGGAACTCACCAGGCTTTATAAATAACCAGATTTGGCCTAACTAGCACCACTCTTACCTAGTGGTAAAGGCTCTTCCAGTTGCCCCTCATCCCCTCCCTCCAACCTCATGCCTCCTGTGACATGGGCTTATTGCCCTTCACTTTCATCCCTGATCAGATTAACCCTCCCGAGTCCTATTTCATTTTATGTTGTTGTAGTTGTTAGCTGCTGTCAAGTCAGCCCCCATGTCATGAAAACCCCATGTACAACAGAAGGAAACACTGCCCAGGCCTGCACTATCGCCACAGAAGGTGGCAGATCAGATCCTTGCCATCCATAGGCTTTTCACTGGCTGACTTTCAGAAGTAGATCACCAAGCCTTTCTTGCTAATTTAACTTAGTTTAGAAGTTCCACTGAAACCTGCTCAGCATCATAGCAACACCCCAGCCTCCACTGACAAATGGGTGGTAGCTGTGCTGAGGTACAATAGCAGGGAGTCAAACCAGGTCTTCTGTGCAGAAGGCAAGAATTCTACCACTGAGCCACCACTGCCTCATTCCATGCTATTCTTGAATTCTGCCAATCCCTCTCTGATAGTTAAGGTTATGTGTCAACTTGACTGGGCCTGGTTTTGAGAGGCTGGTTAGCTGGATGTAGTATTCCCCATGAGGAGACTGATAATCAACTCCATGGTGGAAATCTACTGTGAGCAGCTCAGTAGCTGCCTTAGGGAATGTGGTCTGTTCCCAGCATATAAGGAGAAGCTTTGGGAATGGTCTCTAGCTTTTCGGCACACCTGAACCCTGCATTTAGCCAAGTCATTGTTCAGCAGCCTTCCATGCTTTGCCGATCTTGGGACTTTTTCTGGACTTAAATTACTAAGCTGTCATGTGGCTTGGTAACATCGAGACTGTGCCTTTTTACTTGTCAGCTTTGGGTTTGTCAGCTTCAGCACCAGCAGCTGTCTGAGTGAAGAAAAGCCTCCAGCTTCAGTGAGCCAGGAGCAGGAGGCAGAGCTGAAACCCAAGGTTGAGAGGCTTCTACCCAGCCCCTAGAGCTGGGCACTTTGAACTCAGACTTCAAGCCTCCAAAATTGTTAGAGAATAAATTCCTGTTTGTTCAAGCCATCCCATTTGTGGTATCTTCTGTTAGAATGGCACTAGGTAACCAAAACACTCTCCCATTGATGTGCCCCTCATTTTGTTATAAACAAGTAACCCTATGTTCATGCCCCTTTCCTCTTAAATTCCATTTACCAAATTATATTTCCCTGGGTGTTTGGGAACCATTAGGCATGCTGCTCTTTCTTCCAGTGTTGAGGAAGGAAACAGAATTAGCATGTCTTATACTCACCCCTCTTAAAAGTTTACTACACCTTGAAATTCCACTCTCATTTTCTCTGAACTGCCCAATCCTATTTCCCCTTCTACTTCTCTGACCACTCCCAATGTTCCCTTCTTTGGCTCACTTTCCTTTCCCCAAAAATCTCCCAGTGAGATTTTGCACTCAAAACTGCTTCCTCCCTCTTCCACACTCTTCAATAGCTTCCACTCCCAGGTCTTTACTCTTATTTCTTTCCCTTTGTACTCTGGTTAACAGCCAAACCTCAGATTCAGATCTCTAATTGGGTGTCCTGTAGCATCCAGGGAGCTCTGGTAGCATAGTGCCTAAGGCACTTGACTGCTAACCAAAAGACTGGCAGTTCAAACCCACCAGCCACTCCACGGAAGGAAGGTTGGGCAATCTACTTCTGTAGTGATACTGCCTCGGAAACCCAAGGAGGGATCGCTGTGAGTCGGGTCCAACTCGATGGCACATAAAACAACATAGCATCCAAGCTTTAATGTGTCCAAAGCCAAACCTAGTCTCTTTCTGGGAACATTTGATAAGGCTGCTGTTACCCACCCATGGCCAGACTTTGTTTCACTACTTTGGTCATGTTATCAGAAGGGACTATTCCCTGGAAAAGGATGTCATGCTTGGTAAGATGGAGGGTCAACACAACAGGGGAAGGCCTTCAACGAGATGGATTGACATGGTGGTTGCGACTATGGGCTCAAGTATAGCAATGATTGCGGAGCTGGCATGTGATTGGGCAGTGTTTAGTTCTGCTGTGCATGGGGTTGCTATGAGTCAGAGACAACTTGACGGCACCTAACAACAACAACCACCCTCCCATTCCTACAGGCTGAAAACCAGGCATCATCTGACTCTTTACCCTCCAACAAATCCATTCAGTTTCTGAGTCCATTTGATTTTGCTTTCCAAATATCTCAAAGTGATCCCCTTTTCTATTACCACCACCAATCCCCTCATGTAGGGCCCTCTGGTTTTCCAACAAACTGTTGCGAAGACTCCGCACTGGGCTACTCAGCATTCCTGTCCTAACTCCTGTCTATTGCCAAAGTGATGCCAGCCTCACCCTCTAGGGTCCTAAACAGATGGGTCCCCCCCTGGTCAAAACCTTCTCCCATGTCTCATTATCAAATATGTGTCAGCTCTAGGCTGGCATTCAGCACTTCCCCATATATCCTGGGGATTTTCAGTTTTATTTTCCACTGCTTCAGCATAGTGCCTAAGGCACTTGACTGCTAACCAGAAGGCTGGCGGTTCAAACCCACCAGCCACTCCTCGGAAGGAAGGTTGGCCAATCTACTTCCACAGTGACACCATCTCGGAAACCCAAGGAGCAGTGGTTATGAGTCGGGTCTGACTGGACGGCATATAACAACAACGACAACAGCTTGAAGGCAGCTAACAACAACAATTCCTTCCAACCCACCATTCCCTCCAGCACAATTGAGTACAGGTGGTCCCTGACTTAACGACGTATTCGAGTTACAACAAACCACCCTTATGACTGTGTTTTTATTATTTTGTACATCTTATTGTTAGTAATATGAACTACAGACATTGTTGCAGAATATAATTTTCTGATGTTAGCATTCTCAGATGTTCACCCCCAGATGTTAAAAGATCAGATTTATAAGATACTGTTAATAAAAGGCAATAATAATGAAAAATATTTTAAAATAAAAGTATTTGACTTACATCAGAACCAACTCAGAGTTGTCAGAATGAAACCCTCCTGTAATTCGGGGACTACCTGTCCTCCCTTCTCTTTGGAAAAGTCTCATGTTTTTGCTTCTGAACGTGCACATGCATGTTCTTTATCTGGAATGCCCTTGCTCCCTTTTCCAGCTGTTTAAATCCAGCTATTCATTTCTGAACTCCTGCTCCTCCATGAAGCCTCGGAGAGTCTCTCTTCCCCATACTCCCTTTCCACCCAACCAAATGGACTCATGGAAATGATGGATGTGAGATGGGAAAGATGCCTGCCCTCCCTGTGCTTCTCTGTGCATGTTTCCTTATCCACAGACAAGGATAATTCTACAGACACAGGTCACAAAGAATACATGTAAGGCTCTTCGTGCCAGAGATAAAGCAAACAAATGCTCAGTAGGTGTCAGCTGGTATTGTTCTTTCCCTCAGCACAGTGTTTGTGCTTCTCTGTAATACTAAGCTCACCCTTCTTTAAATTAAAGTCATTGGAAATCTGTCCAGATCCATCATCCAGGATCTGAAGCACTTCAGGGTCAGAAGTGGTTTGGAATGTGCAATTTTACAGATTTTGGAAAGGCCATATTGGCATAGGCCGTATTTGCCCCAGAGGGATCCAGGACTCCACCCGTAATCAAACATACTAATAGTTCTGCTAAACAGGAGTGTTCGTGCAGCACACGTAGAAAGAAATTCATGCTGGTTCAGATCAGATTTTGCCACTAAATGAGTTCAGGTCAGCTCATGCTGCTAAATGAGTTACAAAAACACTTGGCTTTCAGAGATGTTTAGATGTCAGAATTACAAGCTTGAGGGCAGTACCTTGAGTTCACTCATCTTTAAATCCCCTGTAGCACCTAGCACTGTGTCTGGCACTTAGATATTCAACAAATATTTGTGTCATTTAATTATTTATTGCATGGCTATCTGCTGTACTGCCAATAAAATCACTTTGTACCTTTGTGCCAGACTTCTTATAAAAAATCATCATGACCTAGATGCTTACACTGAACCTAGTTTAAAACTGTTCTGTTTACTCAAGTCCTGCACAACTAATTCTTACTCTTGACCAGTTTCTCCAATACTGTATATAATAGTTTTCAAAATCAGTGCTTCACAAATGATAATGTGCCACCTGAATTGTAATGCAGCTGCCAAGAATTATCTTGTTAATCACCTGGGCTGACATTCTGAATATTTAACAAGCCCCAAGGTGATACTGGGTCTGTGGACCACATTATGCAGCAAGGTTCTAAATGACAAGGTCTTCAATTTTCAGCCAACCTTACTGGACTCAAAAATGGTCAAGTTTCAATATTTGTTCCTGTTTCATTTTGACTGAACTTGACAGTCCTGTAGTTGCATCACAGGTTGCAGATTCAGCATATCCTTGAGTGTCAGAGAAAGAGCTTCAGGAGGGCCACATGGCCCTCACCACTGCCACTGGTTTAGACAATCTATCCTCCTGCTAATATGGAATGACTGGCTTTGTCTCTGTCATGCTCAAATGATTCTAAGAGCCTACACAGAGACCTTCAAACTCTTCATCTTGAACTCAAACTAACCAGGCCCCAACAGTATCATTTTTTGGTTTTTAAACTTATATGTCATTTATTATTTATATCACATAGCAAAGGTCTTTATATTGGCTATGATTAGGAGCATGTGAACATGATCCAGTGACCTGAAGAAAGACAATGTCTCAAGAATTTCCTGAATTGTAAGGGAAATGAAGTCCTGACACATGCTACAATGTAGATGGACCTTGAAAACATTATGCTGAATGAAATAAGTCAGTCACAAAGGGACAAATATTGTATGATTCCACTTAAGTGAAATATCTAAAATAGAGACCAAATTTTATTAGTGGTGGGCAGGAGAGGGAAAAGGAGACTCACTACTTAGGGAATACTGAGCTCTGTTAAAGGTATGGGAACATGTGGAAACATAACAGTAATGACTGAACAACACGATAAAAACTAATGTCACTGAATTGTACACTTGAAGAATGTTGAAATGCCAAACAATTTGTTACCTATATATTTATCACAATTAAAAAATAAAGAAAGAATTGCCTGAATTCTCTCTTGGGATGAACTAGGCACATTTACACTAATAGAGTCACAGAATCCCTGGTAATTTTCTCTTTTTTTAATTATTAAATTTTTTATTGTGAAAATACACACAAGAAAACATGTCAATTCAACAATTTCAGCATGTATAGTTCAGCAACATTGATGGCATGCTTCAAGTTGTGTGACCCCTCACTCTCCTCTTCCAGATCATTCTGCTACTATTAACTTAAACTCAGTGCCTGGTAATCAAAAACTCCTTCTTTCCCCCTCCTTCTCACCCCTGGTTACCACTAATAATCTCTATATTTGGTTATTTCAGATAAGTGAGATCACACTGTTTTTGTCCTTTTGCAACTGACTTATTTCAAACAGCATAAAGTTTTCAACCTGTATCTTTTCTTAAGGGAAAGCCAAAGTGATTAGGGACATTTATGACAACACCTCATGCAAATATCTTAACACTATGAATTTTCAGATTTATATATTTATAAAGTTCTAAGAACTAGAAAGAAGCAGTGCCTAAAAGCCACCAATAAAAACCCAACCAGCATCAGAGATGCTTCATAGTCCCCCAGTGTCCTCTTCCCATAGTCATTCTTTTATTCCTTATCCCCAGGCCAAACTCCAATGTCCCTGGTCCATCAACAAAGGCCAGGCAGAGGAGTTGCTCCAGCTTACAGCAGCCTGGGGAGGCCATACTGAATGGGTGACCCACTGCCCCTGCTCTTGGATCCCAGAAGCATGGGGATTCAGCTACTTCAGAAACCCTCTTCACTGACTCAAGTTTTGCACTGAATGTGGGACATGCTGTTCCATGGCCACTTGTAGCATTGCTGGTTTGCCATCAGGTCCCATGTAGCCCACAGTTGGTTTATTTTGTTTGTCCTGAAGGACAGGACATTGTAATGGACATGGATGGCCAAATACAGATCCCGTAGAGCAGACAGCACAGAATCGTCTCTGGAGCTCGCCCTTCATACTTCCCATTGGTTGCCCATGACTCCATGGTGAACTGAACACCCTCAAACACCCCCTTACCAGTAGCACACACTGCTGAAAATCATGATGCCAAGGACACTGAAGGGAAGGACATGCAGCACATAGGCTAGCAGCATCTGCCACTTCTGGTATAGGCCATCCTGACTCTCCTGGTCGCTGACAGCTCGCAGCACAGGGACTAGGCACAGAAGACAGGTTTCAGAATAGTCAATCTTCACACAGCTGAAGGGCAGAGGGCAGGCCAAAGCTGAACTCAGGGTCTGTCAGGGCTTGATGGTGAGGGCCAGTTGGGCAGGGTTCTTGATCATGAAATGAGGAGACCTGCCATCCATGGGGCCATAAAGACCCCAACTCCAGAAATCTGCACTCCACCTGAATTGTAACGCAGCTGCCAAGAATTATGATTTAGTTCTTTCTCTCTAAAGTATGGAATTGTCACCAATTCAAGAAAAGCACATGCAAAACAGGCACAAGTGAATGATGTGAGGCACTTTGTTCCCATTTTGTATAGGCGTTTGGCCCCCACAGCAGCCTGCCTTTTGCACTGACTCTCAGAGGGCCAAGAGGCTTACCTCCATTTCCATCTCTAGGACCAACTGTGCAGAAGCACCATCCTTCGTTCTTGTGACCTGAACCTAGTGTGACATGTTGGGGATTCTCCTAACATCCATTTACCTGCATAAGCTATAACATCAAGCAGCTAAGTGTTGCTTCTGGATCCCCACTGAGTTTGAACTTTAGGTGTTGGCTGTCTTAAAATAGGCTCCAAGGGTGAATATTTTGCCCAATAACAGTGTCCCCAAGGGGTGTACATCTTAATGACCATGATAGGATTTGAGGAATGGTCTTTTGAAAAGCCCTTCCCAAACCCTGTCCCACAAACACAACTTAACTTCACATTTCCCTGGATTCTTCTTAGACCCTAGAGAACCATCTGGTGAACTAATTCATACTAAAGTGTTAGTAATACAATACATTAAACTTTCCCCAGAGAGAGTACTTGGAGAGGACTTAGCTCAGAGAAATAGGCATATAATGGTGGATTTTTGCAAGGTAACAGCTGGGCAAGGGGATGTCTGGGGAGAGAGGATGCCTCCAACCTTAGGAGACATCTCCTGCCCACTGACACTTACACAGAGTCACAGCGTTGAGCATGCCTGTGTATGGGGTGGCACCCACACACTGGTACAGGAGGCCCACTCTGTCCTGGACAGCACCCTTTGATACATCATTCTGGAGCCTCAGAAGAAAGAAAATGACGAACAGACCCATGACCAGATTCTGAGCAAGACGCATAGACACTGCCACCTTATTTCTCAGTAAATTTCTTGTCACTCTCCTGAAACCCAAACAAGATTGTTTCAATTCCTTTTCTTCACTGGTGATATCTAAAGACCTAAAAAATAGGCCTTCCTTAACATTTGCGAGGTTCTTACCTCAGGAGAACACCAAGTTTAGAGAGAGCTCCGGGAGAATCTTTGGTTTTGAAAGGAATCATTGGTAAGGTTTTCAGGTGTTTTGTTCTTTCAATATTCTCCAAAATTTTGTGATAAATTGCTGATTCCTTGTAGGCAGATCCAATCATTTGAACTCTCTTGAAGGTTTTTATTTCCCGTTCTTTGCTTTGGGTATCCACTGATGTCAGGTCCACTAGAATTTTTCCCAAAAGATATGATCCATGCATTTTAAATACACATGTATATGTACAGTGGATAATAATAGATATTTTATCATTGATTCAGAAGTATTAAAAACTGTGCTTTAAAACTCAGTTTTGAAAAGTCATAATGCTTCACAGAATTTTGAACAGTTGTAATACCTCATTCCACCAGAGTAAAATCTGTTCTTAATACCCACATACAAAATCAGAATATTTTAGAGCTATGCAGGGGGCCATGAGAATCCCTTTTGGGCTGTCTGGGAGAGCTCAGAAGCTTGGCTAACTTTGCTCTGGCAAAGTGGGAGCATACCAATTTGTTTGAGAGAGATCCTCATGGTATCTATGGCAAATCCACTGACCCAGTCAAATTCACTCTTGAAGAGCAGAATGAAAACACCAAAAACAAAAGCAAAAATAAATCCCACTAGTGCTGTGTGACTCAGGCAGAAACCCAAGATGATAAAGTTCAAAGACCACTCATGATGAGGAATATGAAGGAAAACTTACTATAAAAGTCAAAAGGGTTTGAATGTTCAGGACAAGGGTAATTGCAGCCATTGAAGAAATCAAGCATTTCCACTGGTGTGCCGCAGAAAACCAGCTCTCCGCAGCTCAGGATGGCGATTTTGTCAAAGAGCTGATTGGACAACAGGCAGTGTTAGTATGTGTGTCATCAGGTCATTGTGTGGTTATGGCTAATATGTTTCTAGGCAGCCAGCCCTTTGACTATCTCAGCCATGCATCAACATTCTCAATGTACAAACTGAGGCACTAGAGTACCTCTCTGTTTCAGCCTGAGTTGGCACTGTGGATCATGCTGGTCCCCAGCCTGAGCCTCAGTGTAATGTGTGGCAGAGAAGGGCTACCAGTAGTGGACCCGTGTTTGAGTCCAGCCATTCCACCAACTTAGAGACTTGGACAAGCTCATTTTTTTTGTTTTGTTCTGATCTTAGATCTTCATTTATAAAAGGTAGATAATATCTACCTAATAGGATACTGATGGAGCCCTGGTAGCACAGTGGTTAACCACTCAGCTGGTAACTGAAAGATCAGTGGTTTGAACCCACCAGCTGTTCCATGGGAGAAAGATATGGCAGTGTGTTTCTGTAAAGACCATAATCTAGAAAACCCTAGACTCTGCATTTTTACTCTGTCCTGTAAGGTCACTATGAGTCAGAATAGACTCAAAAGCAACAGATTTTAATAGGATTATTGTTGTTGTTAGGAGCTGTTGAGTTGGTTCTGACTCATAGCAACCCTGTGTACAACAGAACAAAACACCGCCCAGTCCTGTGCCATCCTCACAATTGTTGCTGTGTTTGCGCCCATTGTTGCAGCCACTGTGTCAGTCCGTCTTGTTGAGGGTTTTCCCCCACTTTACCAAACATGATATCCTTCTCCAGGGCATGATCCCTCTTGATAACATGACCAAAGTATGAGAGACAAAGTCTGGCCATTCTTCCTTCTAAGGAGCATTCTTGCTGTACTTCTTTCAAGATAGATTTTTTCATACTTCTTCTGGAAGTCTATGGTATACTCAATATTCTTCACTGACACCATAATTCAAATGCATCCATTCTTCTACGATCTTCCTTATTCATTGTCCAGCTTTCACACGTGTGTGAGGGTATTGAAAAAACCGTGGCTTGGGTAAAGTGCACCTTAGTCTTCAAAATGACACCTTTGCTCTTTAACACTTTAAAGATATCTTTTGCAGCAGATTTGCCCAATGCAACATATCATTTGATTTTATGACTGCTGCTTCCATGGGCATTGATTATTGATCCAAGTAAAATGAAATCCTTGACAACTTCAATCTTTTCTCCATTTATCATGATGTCACCTAATAGTACAGTTGTGAAAATTTTTGTTTTCTTTATATTGAGATGTAATCCATACTGCAGACACTAGTCTTCAGTCTTCATCAGTAAGTGCTTCGAGTCTTCTTCACTTTCAGCAAGCAAGGTTGTGTTATCTACATATCACAGGTTGTTAATGAGTGTTCCACCAATCCTGATGCCTCATTCTTCTTATAGTCCAGGGTCCCATAATAGTTGTTCAGCATACAGATTGAAAAAGCATGTACAACTGTGATGCACACCTTTCCTGATTTTAAACCACACAATATCCTTTTGTTTTGTTCAAATGACTCTTGGTCTATGTACAGGACCCTCATGCACATAAATAAGGGTTCTAGGATTCCCATTCTTTGCAGTGTCATCCATAATTTGTTATGATCCACACAGTTGAATATCTTTGCATGCTCAATAAAACACAAGTAAACATCTTCCTGGTATTCTTTGCTTTCAGCAATATCCATCTGACATCAGCAATGATATCCCTCTTTCTTGCCCTCCTCACAATCCAGCTTGAATTTCCGACATCTGACTGTTTTTTAATTATCTTCAGCAAAATTCTACTTTCTTGCGATAATTAATGATATTGATCAATAATTTCCACATTCTGTTGGATCACCTTTCTTTGGAATGGGCACAAATATGGATCTCTTCCAGGCAGTTGGCCAGATAGTTATCTTCCAGATTTCTTGGAATAAATGACTAAGCGCCTCCAGCACTGCATCCATTTGTTGAAACATCTCAGTCAGTATTCCTTCAGTTTGTGAAGCCTTGTTTTTCACCAATTCCTTCACTGCAGCTTGGACTTCTTCCTTCAGTACCAGCAGTTCTTGATCATACGCTACCTCCTGAAATGACTGAATGTTGATCAATTCTTTTTGGTACAGTGACTCTGTGTATTCATTCCTTCCATGTTCTTTTCCTGCATCTTTCAGTAATTTTCCCATAGAAGCCTTCACTATTGCAACTTGAGGTTTGAATTTTTTCATTTCTTTCAGCTTGAGAAATTCTGAGCATGTTCTTCCCTTTTGATTTTCAAACCCCAGGTCTTTGCACATTTCCTTATACTTTACTTTGTCTTCTGGAGCCACCCTTTGAATCTTCTGTTCAGCTCTTTACTTCCTCTTTTCTTCCTTTCACTTTAGCTATTCTCCATTCAAGAGCAAGTTTCAGAGTGTCTTCTGACATCCATTTTGGCCTTTTCTCTCTTTCCTGTCTTTTTAAATGACTTTTGCCTTCTTCATGTATAATGCCCTAATGTCATCCCACAACTCATCTGGTCTTTTGTCACTGGTGTTCAATGCATCAAATCTATTCTTCAGATGGTCTCTAAATTCAGGTTGTATTTTGGCTTTCATGGACTTGCATAGGAGCAACTGGTGGTCTGTCCCACAGTTGGTCCCTAGCCTTGTTCAGACTGTGGGGCTTCTCTATCATCTTTACACAGATGTAGTCAATTTGATTTCTCTGTATTCCATCTGGCAGGGTACACATGTGTATAGTCACCATTTATGTTGTTGAAAAAAGGTATTTGCAATAAGTAAGTTGTTGTTCTTACAAAATTCTATTGTGATTTCTGGCATCATTTTTTTTCTTTTAATTTGTTATTGTGATGTGGGTGCAAATTTACAAAGCAGATTCGTTGCACTCACAATAGTTATGTGCATTTGGTTTCTCTCTGCTTACAGTCCCTAACCATGAAAAGCTCTCCTCCCATCTGCTCCCTGTGAGTATTCCTTCCCTGTGCCCTTCTTATCTATGTATTCCTGTCTGCCCAGCCTTCCCTCTAGGCGAATGCTGCCCTTATGATGTCTCATGGCTGATTGATCTAAGGAGTGCATCACCCTAGGGTTGGTGAGGGCATCTCCCTGGGGTAGGTACTCTGCTTGGGCTGAGAGCTAATCCACAAAGTGAGTCCAATTCCAGGCCCAAAGGATAATCCAGGCCATAGTCTTAAGGGTTTCACCAGTTTCTATCTGACCAGTAATTCTGGTCATTTTTGTGTTTTTGAATTTTGTTTCACATTTTCCCTCCCATTCTATCCAGGAATTCAATTTTGATCCCTTTCCGAGTGGTTGGTATTGATAGCCAGGCACCACCTAGTTCTTCTGGTCTCAGGGTTGTGAAGGCTGAGGTCACAATAGTCCATCATGTCCTTGGACTTATTGTTTCCAAATGGCTTTGATTTTCTTCACTCGTCTTTGCTCCAGGTGAGGGGAGACCAATAGTTGCGTCTTAGATAGCCACTCAATAGCTTTTAAGACCCCAGCCACTACTCACCAAAGTAGGGTATAGAACAAGATTTTTATGTACTGTGTTGTGCCTGTTGAGCATGATGCCCCTGAGACAATGGTCCCAGTCTGCAGGCATGATGACTCTTCCCTTCAGGGTGTTTGGTTGTCTCTGAGAAGCTACTCCAACCTTGTCCCCCATTACATCTGTACTGTACATGGATATTTTTGTAGCACAGATACATTATGTAAGACTACCTTCAGCCAAATGTATCCTTGGTCTTAGGTCTACTTCTGTTTGCCTTCTCAAACCTAATCTTCTAGCCTGTGTATGCATTTACCCATTGCCTAGTGTTTGCTGCTACTGGTAATGCAGTATTGTGCATGTAATAGTATTTGCCTCTGTTGTCTATATCTTTTTTGTATGTTTCTGTGTCCTCCTTTGCCCTATTGTCATTATGCTGGTCACATTTTTGTTGTATTTCTGGCATCATTTCTATCATGAAGGCTATATTGTCCAACTACTGATGTTTCTTTTTTGTTTTCAACTTTTACATTCCAATCACTGGTAATTATCAATGCATCTTGATTGCATGTTAGATCAATTTCAGATTGCAGAAGCTGGTAAACATCTTCGATTTCTTCATCCTTGGCTTTAGTGACTGGTGTACAAATTTGAATGATAGTAGTTGTTTTGGTTACCTAGTGCTGCTCTGATAAGAATATACCGCAAATGGGATGGCTTTAACAAGCAGGAGTTTATTATTACAATTTAGAGGCTTTAATTAACTGGTCCTCCTTGTGGATGTATGGATATTATCCTTATTGCTGGCAGCATTGTATTTCAGGATAGATTTTGAAATATTCTTTTTGAAGATGAACGTGATGCCATTTGTCTTCAATTTGTCATTCCCAGCATAGCAGGCCACAGCCACATGATTATCTGATTCAAAATGGCCAATACCAGTCTATTTAAGCTCACTAATGCCTAGGATATTGATCTTTATGCATTCCATTTCATTTTTGACATCTTGCAGTTTCCCTAGATTCATACTTTATACGTTCCCCATTCCAATTATTAAGGGGTGTTTGCAGCTATTTCTTCTCATTTTGAGTCATGCCACATGAGCAAATAAAGGTCCCGAAAGCTTTACTCTATCCATGTTATTAAGATTAACTCTACTCTCAGAAGGCAGCTCTTTCCTAATCATATCTTGAGTGTCTTCCAACCAGAGTGACTCATCTTCCAGGACTGTATCAGTGTTTTGCTGCTGTTCGTAAGGTTTTCAGTGGCCATTTTTTTCCAGAAGTGACTGTTGTGTCTTTCCTGGTCTGTGTGGGTCTGGAAGCTCCCCTGAACCCTGTCCACCTTTGGTGACCCTGCTGGTGTTTGAAATACTGATGGCACAGCTTCCAGCCTCACAGCCACATGCCAGCCACCACAGTACAACAGACTCAAAGACAAGTGGTGCTTTAATAGGATACTGGGAGGTTAAAGTGAGTTCTGGAAGGGAATCTATATGATCTAGTAGAAAAACAGTCTTTGAGGGCAATTGGACCATTAATGGCAATTCCAGCTCTTTACTAACTATGATATTGGCTCAATTTTATATCATTTCTAAGTCACTCTTTGCCTCTATAAAGTAGACGTACTGATATCCCTCTCATAGGGTTAAATGAGCTAGCATATAGAAAGAATTTGGCACATGGCAGGTGTTGAATAAAAGTAGTTTCCATCTTTTGCCCTTCTGCTGGAGCTGTTGGCTCCAATTCCTCTGGTTTGACAGTACTAATGTTTGCCCCAGGAGTTCCTGGGTGGCACAGATGGTAAGGTGCTCAACTACTGACCAAAAGGTTAGCTGTTCACATTCACCCAGCGGCACCTTAGAAGTAAGGTCCAGTGATCTGTTTCTGAAAGGTCATAGCTAAGAAACCCTATGGAGCAGCTTTACTCTTGCACACTTGGGATTGCCATGAATTGGAATGGATTCAACAGCGACCAACAACAATCTCTGGTCTGCCTCCTGACATTCCCACCTTAGTACTAGTTGCCTAGCTAAGCAAGAACAAGAGGCATCACTCTTACCTGGAAGAGCTCGGAGCGGGGCTGATGGATGGTGAGGATCACAATACGGTCCCTGTGGGCCAACTCGGCAAGAAGGACAACAATCTGATTGGCAGTCATACAGTCCAGGCCTGTGGTTGGCTCGTCAAACAGCATGACCTCTGTCCACAAAGCAGACTTGTGAGCCCCTGCTGAGCCTGGAGTTTGTGCTAAAAGCCCATAATTTTGAAAAGTCCCTTGTTGAGATGTCTTTACACATCCCAACTGCACAGTGAAATGCAGCTACATGGCTTTCAGTCTGGTCCCAAGAGAAAGGTCCTGAACTAGGAGGCCTGACCCCCAGCTCTGGAGCATATTTGAGCCTTAAGCCTTGACAGAACAGAGAAGCAGCCAGGTCAGGGCTCTCCTCTGACACAGTGCTTTTGGCTGCCTGGGCTCCATCCAGGGACCCTGATGGGGAGCAATGGCCAGTAGATTATTTTTAAAAGGGTAAGAGGAGGGCTGGTTAAAGAGACCTAACCCCATTTCATGACTGTAGCATTTTCCAACATTAACAAAGTCTTTTCACTGCAAAAAAAATCTGACTGATGAAACGTTGTCTGAGGTGGGGCAGATGTTTAGGTTTTTTAGAGTTTAACTGTAGCTATATTTCTACCCAAAAGGTAAACAGGACTCTTGAGAACATCTTTCTTATTTGCCTTCTACTGACCAAGGAGCCTCTGAAGAATAGACAGTCTGGGTTTAGCCCAGCATAAAGTAAGTATCCAGATGCAATATGTCCTCTAACACGGACACGTGGTGAGGTTCCCTAAGCAGTGAGAGAATGACCAAACCAGGCAGGAGAAGCAGGTGACTGGCTACAGCATTTGATAACCCCTCCCAACACACATTTTGTGATACACTTTTGAGTGTATCACTCAGTCCTACTACTGCATTTCTTTATTTTTTCATTTTTGCAGTGTTCTTTCCCCTTCCCTGCCACCACCCCTGGTAACCAACAAAGAAAGTTTTCTTCCATATATAAACCTTTCCTTGACTCAGTCCTGCTTCAATTCCTGTCATGTCAAATACAATTCTAGTCACACCAAAACTCACTGGTTTCCCCCCAGCAGACACAATGATGTTGGTCTACTAAGGAATGAGGCTGGTCAGGCAGGGCCCCATGCTCATGGAAGACCCTCATTGAACACCAAAATGCAAATAAAATGCTTACAAGTCCACAAGTGTTTTGAACTGGATAATGGAATAGCACCTGAAAAATGAGCCATATAGATTTGTTTGTTTGTTTGTTTGTTTTTAAAGGGTTTCCATTTTGAAAAATCTCAGTAATTTCAGTTCCATACAAACCCTTTCCCAAATAGAGACTGTGAAGAAAGGGTCTGAAGTATTTGCAGACATGTGGAAGATACCTTGACAGCAACTGGCAGCAGTTCTGGCCCCACTTACTGGGATCCTGGAGGAGCTGGGCTGCGATGGAAACCCGGCGGCGCTCCCCATTGGAAATTCCCCCAAAATTGTAGTTGCCAATCAGTCGATCTGCCACATGACTCAGACTCAGCTCTGCCATGACTGCCTCTACCTGCAGACAAAGTCCAGAAAAGACTGGCCACTTCTGTGGCTGCAAGCCAGTGGGCTGGGGATAGCAAGGGAAGAAACCATCTACTTCCCTAGAGTGCCCGGACCATTTTCAGACTTACCCTGCCCTGGGGAAATCAAGCCTATTATAATAAATTCCAATTTGGTTTGAATTAGACTTATTTTAAAGGAGTCTGGTGGCACAAAGTTTAAGCGTTCAGCTGCTAACCAAAAGGACAGTGGTTCAAACCCACCCAGTGGCTCCACAGGAGATAGACCTGGTGATCTGCTGCTAAAGTTTACAACCTAGAAAACCCTATGGGGCAGTTCTACTCTGTCACAAGGTGTCACTATGAATTGGAATAGATTTGATGGGACCTAACAACAGACCTGTTTTCTCCTATATAACACAAACATGTCCTGGGGTCTTATATGGCTCAATCTCAGAGCGGTTTTGAATCAAAGAAATAAAATCTAGTGATCAAAAGTAATTTAAACTATTTGCAATCTTTAATCTTTTGAAGAGTTTTAAAGAGAATCCAATTTATAATTTACAGTCATACTTCTTAAAACATCCTTTCGCCTAATTCTCCTTACTCTACTTAGAGCCCTCTGCTCCCTGAAACCTTTCTCCTTTCGTTCTCAACTCCCACACAAAAATAACAGCTAAAAGAGTTCTTTACTGACTTTCTAATCAAGGAAACTAGTCGTTTTCCTCCCTCTCCCCATTTCCTTTCTCAGCTTATCTCATCTCCAGAGACGCATTCAAATATCTCTATTTCTGATTCTCCTCTAACTGACTGAAGGAACCCCTGTGGCACAAGTGGTTAAGTGCTCCACTATTAACCAAAAGGCTGGCAGTTCAAGCCCACTAGCCTCCGGAGAAAGATGTAGCAATCTGTCTCCATAAACATTTACAGCCTAGGGTCGCTAAGAGTCAGAGTTCGACTTGACAGCGATGGGTTTTCCTTACTGATACCCCTGTGTGCATAAGGCCTTGAACAATAGTGGTAGAAAGAGTCTGAGAATACTTATATGGTAATGAGTTTTGTCCCCAGACATCCCTAATGAGATTGTGTTGTTTCTGTAATGAAAAGAGAAACAAAAACTTTGCATTCAAAATCCAAATAAACTGGATTAGAGTTAAAAAGGAGATGATTTATGGAACAAAGTTTCATAGGAATGGGGGGTGGGATCAACAGTGTAGTGAACCTTTAGCCAAAAGAGGGAACACATCTGAAACTGATATAAAGGAATAATGAGGAGGTACAAATGCTACATAAACTAGTATATTTCCTGGGGTGGGGGAGAAGAATTGCTGTCAGAGTAGACAGATCTAGAATTGAACTTTGCTTGACTTGGCTAGGTGGACGTGCTCACCAGCCAGGGCAGATTACTGAGCCTCCTTTTCATCTGCTTTCCAACACCAACAAAGTAGTAAAGCTTGCCCCCCATTGCTTGAATGGATGGACAGAGGGGACATTTACTTTATCTGTCTTGGATGTCTCAGGCCCCAGCAGGAAGTTTCCCAAAGATTTGGGGACACTTTTGAGAATGGAAGTCTTAGAATCTTAGACAGGACTACTAGAATCATCAAGTCCAACCAAAGTCTACAGAGACTAACTTGCCTAGTCAGTGGCAGGACAGGGACTTGAAGGGAGATGAGAGACAACTAATATCTATTGACCCCCCTGCTCTGTGCTTAATGCATTCAGCATACTCTGACTGACTCCTAAATCAACCCTAGGGAGAAACATTATTATCCTATGTGTTATAGAGGGTAATGTTTCTAGAGAAAGCTTCAATGAGTTTACTTGTGGCTGGTGGCATAGTGCCTAAGGCACTTGACTGCTTAACCAGAAGGTTGGCAGTTCAAACTTAACCAACCACTCCTCGGAAGGAAGACCGGGCGATCTACTTCCATAGTGATACCGCCTCGGAAACCCAAGGAGGGGTTGCTATGAGTCGGGTCCGACTCGACGGCACATAACAACAATAATATGTAATATATATGTGTGTGTATATATATATATATATATATATAGTCACTTCAGCCTATTATTAATAAAATTATGGCAGTAATTTACATTCTGTTTATCCAGACTAAGTTTCTGAAATGTGCTGTGTAGTTTATACATACAGCACATCTCAGTCAGGACTGGTCCCATTTCAAGTGCTCAAAAGCCGTATGTGACTAGTGGCTGCGTACTGAACAGGGCAAGTCTAGAGTCCGAAGTAAAGGGGACGAATGGACGGGATGAGTGGAAGCTCGGAGTCTGGGGAACCGGGGCCTAGGGCTCCTTCCCATGGATGCTCCCAGGACAGGCTGTACCCACCTTCTTCTCTAAGAAGCCTGAGGGGCCGCGGATGGCCAGCAGTGCCGTATAGCGCAGCGTCTCCCGTACCGTGAGGCTGCTCAGCAGAGTGTTACTCTAAGGGAGAGGGAGGCATCAGCATTGCCCTAGAACCCCGGCAGCAGGGGGGTCGTCGGGGAGGCGCCCACCTGCAGGACGTAGGAGAAACAGTCCTGGAACTGCTCTCGGCGCAGCGTGCGCCCGTTCACGCACACTTCCCCCAGGAAGGTCCCTGTCCGCCTCAGCCGCCCGGACATGGCGTCCAGTAACGTGGTTTTCCCAGAGCCTGTGAGGTAAGAAGAGAAAGTCCTGGACGAATCCCTGCTGTCATGGCAATGGAGGAACTTCCCGAGACCTTCTGTGCAGTAGTTTACCCTCGGTCCAGCCCTGACTGGCTCTTACTTTAGCCTCTGAGGTCCCTTCATGGGTCAAATGTTCCAAATGACAAAAGCCATTTCTCTCACCTGGGCCACTAGTCAGAACTTGACGTATTTATTTGCTTTTAAAGTTTTGGGGGGGTGTTGAGAAAGAAAATGGAAGATAAGGGGAAAAGAAAAAGGCTCTTGGAAAAGTTTGCATCCTAAGACATCTGAATTTCTTTTTGTGGCCCTCTAAGATTGTTTAGGAGCTCTGGTGGCAGTAGTGCCTAAGGCATATGACTGCTAACCAGAAGGCTGGTGGTTCAAACCCACCATCCACTCCTCAGAAGGAAGACTGGGCAATCTACTTCTGTAGTAATACTGCCTCGCAAGCCCAAAGAGGGGTCACTATGAGTGGGATCTGATTCAATGGCAGTGAGTTTGCTTTCGTTTGGAGGATTGTTTGGTTGTGCCTGAATGTAGCTGACATTGCCCAGAGCCTTGCTAATCAAAGTGTGGCAGGAGAACTAACTGCGTGGGAGCATCTTAGAAATGCAGAATCCTGGGCCACCCCAGACCTATTGAGTGACATAGAAAACAGCAGAAGTGACAATGTGCAACTTCCAGAATAGATCACAAAAGTCACTGCAGCGTCTGCCTTGGTTCTTAGATTGCTTGCTCTAGGGGAAGCCAGCCACCATGCCATGAGGACACTCAAGTAGCCCTGACATGGAAAGGAACCGAGGCTTTCTGCCAACACACCACCAACGTCGTAGCCATCATGTGAGGGAGCCACCCTGTGAGCAGATTTCCTAGCTCCATTCAAGCCTTTATATGATTGTAGCTCTAGCTAACATGTGACTTCAACTTTTTGAGAGAACCCAAGCCACCCAACTGCCCCAGCAAATCACTTCCAAATTTCTGACCCACAGAAACCTGAAAGATAATAAATAGCTATTGTTATTATAAACCACTAAAATTTGGGATTGTTACATAAAAATAGATAACTTATTCAGATTTTTTGAACATATACAAGTATTTTTTTAACTCACTCATGAAGGAAACAGCAGGATGATACAACTCTTTCAATGGAGGACATAAGTAAATAGTATATATAGTCATTAGAAAAAAGATTGGAGTAAGATATCAAAGGTAGACAGAAACCTGGTTTTAATGCCCACTAGAGCAATGACTCTGGTAGCATAGTGGCTAAGGCACTTGACTGCTAACCAGAAGGCTGACGGTTCAAACCCACCAGCCACTCCTCGGAAGGAAGGTTGGGCAATCCTACTTCCGTAGTGATACTGCCTCGGAAACCCAAGGAGGGGT